GCTATGCTCCCCATCAACTGACATCTGTCCCTCCACAGCTGTAAGCAAATTTTGTCCTGTTGCAAGGGTACCCTGTATTATCTTCTCTGTCTCAATGGCTAGAACCACACCCAGAGATGCACAGCCATGGGCAGCCAAAGGAACACCACATGGCCAAGAAAACACATGATTTACTGCACCACTAGCCTGCTGCAAGGTCAGTCCCTGCACCTTGATAACCAGAAGACGCACTGCGTGGTCTGAGACTTACCTTTGTGGAAGATGAACCTGAAAACACATATCCTGACGGACCCCAAAAGCTGATATGGAACTTAAAATGGCTTGTAAGATCCAAAGGAGTACTACTACAGTAAATGGTTTGACAAGTGCACTGCCCATTGCCATTGAGTGGTTCTCAAGTGGCTGAACAGCTTCTGGAGCTCAGGCTCACAAATCCCTAAGTGCAGCCAAAGGGGTTAAAACAGCACAGCTTAACAGAGCAGTTAGAATATGCTCCCATCAGCCCTGCAAACCTTCAGTGGCCCATGAACAAGAGATAAGAATCAAATGCCCAAAAGCATTTAGAAAGAAGCCCAAGCTGGGGTACCTGCAACTTGCAACTTGCTCACTGCAAGCAATGTATAAACAGTACTGTTCACCGTCACTTTGTAGAAAGGAGTTCTTAAAAGGGATACGATCGTTCCCTTGGAAGGGATTTTCAAGGATCATTCAGCCCAGCTGTCTGACCACTTCAGGGCTAGCCAAAAGTTACAGCACACTCAGGAGGGCACCGTCCATGCGCCTCTCATACACTGAGGGCCACAGACTCTGGACAAAATGAAGTTTCAGTTTGCACAGTACAAAGGAAATAAACCCCTTCTGCTATCTCTATCCACAGCTGGATTTATCTCTAGCAAAAAAATAAATATTCCTCCTTCATAGTGGACTCCAGAGTTAGTTAGAAAAGAGATATTTGTTCTGCTCCTCTAACTGATCTCCAAGCTTACAAGTACAAAAGAGATGGTTGCACAGAAACCACAGAGGCCGTCTTTGAGTTTATATCCTGTTGATGATGAAAAGATTTTATGAGTGAAAACAAGAGTCTACATATTCCTCTATACAACAGCTTTTAAATGAGAGAACAGATGGATTCTTCCTGGCTTTCAGCAGTACAGAAGGAATTCTCTCTCACCCCACGCTCTTTTCTTCCCGTCTCCTAAACCTGTACAGACATTACAGGTCTTCTATTTCTCAAACCGGCACAGAGCTGCTCCCTCTCTTCTTGCCACACTCTTTCATTTCTAGAGAAACAACTCTCAGACATTTCCTATACTTCTGGCATGGTTAAAAAAAGCTTTGTTAACCAGAGGGTGAAACCTTCAGACAGCTTATAATGCCACAGGGTAACACTTTTGAGTTTTAGCCTGAATCCTCAAGATGCAGTTTCCATAAACAGATTTCTTGGCACTGCTAAGAGCATCTCCTACTTTTCTGCACTGCAACCCAACATCCCACCACACTTCAGTTCTGCAGTCCTGAACATGGAAGAGAGTACAATGAAGGCAGCACAGGAGATTGTATTTCTCCTCATTTTAACACTGTGGTGACTCAGTACAAGAGGGGACAGGTGACCTCTGCCAAGAGATTGGATGAAAAAAAAAAAGTGAGCTAGTTCCATTCCTCCAAAGCCTCTGTAGCGCACAGACCTCACAGACGTGAACAGTATTTACAGCATCATTGCCTTCTTCAGTAAATATAAAGTCACTCGATGCCTTCATGTTAAGTCTCACAGTTACTCAGACAAGTGTATAAAGCATTGCTTTTCTGTTACTATAATCCTAGTCATTCATCATCTCTAGTTTAATCTTCCTCCAAGATTACTGAATCTAAGCATGAGACACAAAAAGGAAAGAGGAACAGACCAAGACAAGCAGAATTAAATTCTCCAGCCTCCACTCAGCATTACAGGTGTCAAATGAAGTTCTGAATGCTAACACATTTGGCATCAAAGAAAAAAATTGCTCTAACACTATCACTAGCTACAGTTATACAATATATAAAATAAATACAAGAACACAGAGAGACAAACTGCATTCTCTCTGGTTTAACTAGAAACTCCCAAGGCAGCTTTAAACAAGATAGCCCTTGTAAAGCTGGCAAAACAGCTGCTGCAGCACGGCCCTTGGCTCAGCCTTGTCATCAGAAGCATGGCCATGCCGTAGCACATGATGATTTTACTCTGGAAAATGATTAAGTCCAAATAGGTGAGTCTGAGGGACTCTGGATGGAGCTTCACAAAAACAATACAGGTACAAACATCTACCTACATGCATCAATGCTGCTCATATTCTTCATTTGAATTTCTTTGTTTAGCTTTTATGGTCTAAGAACAAAAAAGATGATGCTACAAAAGAAGATGAAGATTAACCAGTTGTAAGTAAAGGAACAGAAACACTTGAGAATGCACAGAGATCCAAAGAAAAATAATTTTTAAAAGCAAATATAATAGTTTTTAGAATAAAAAAAAATAGATATTCATTATATTCTTGTAAGGAATAAAATCATTTAGCAGCATCAGTTCTTCATAGAAAACATACTGGAGAGAAGTGCAAAGTATGATGTCAGCATCCAAGCATGAGTACTGTGAAGAGCATAAGCAAAAGAAGGTCCAGAACCCACCGTGACTGCTAATTTTCCCTTGTGAAATCCATAACTGTATGCACACAAGCTGCAGTTTATTTGAACAGAATGGCTTGCGCATGATCTGAATTTCCAAAATATTCCTGGTCAGAATAAAGGTTTGTCTAAACCTAGAAGCTGCCTCCAACGGATGCCATAAACAGGATGAAGAGCACAAAATAACATGCAGTAAAGAATCCCTAAAAACATTGATTTAGCTTCCAGCACCTCACAACTGTATTTAGTTTTACCCTGACACACTTGAATTCCATTTTTCCCTCCCATCTCTTTACATCCATATGATCTTTTAGCATTCACAAATTCTACTGCAAGGATTTTCTCAGCCTTCTCACACATTTTATGGTCATTCTCTTCCACTGTCATACACTGTATATTTGATGCGCCTGGTTCCAAAATTGGAAGAGACAGTGAACAATAACTCCTTGCTTTCTTTATGCCACCCATAAGTCTTGGACAAACACTCCCTCAGCCATTTGTTTTCCATGCTGAAGATTCACGTTCTGAATATACTTCCTTTATCTTTAAATACTTTACTCTCCAGGCTTTTGGGGCAATATCTTTTTTCCACAACAAAGAAGAAATCAGTTTCCTTGAAGAGGCAGTATAAATGTCAAACCTTGAACTCCGTGGCAAATGGCTGTGACCGTTCTTCTGTGTAGTGAAAATAAACAGCCTGGTTTCTAAAAGAGATATTCAAAGTTACCCCAGTTGACTGGGAGCTGATAATAGATAAGGAACACACTTGAGACTTTTTTCCACATACTGAGTTTATTCTTAGCTACCCACCCAGTTTATCTTTACATTAGAACCTGGACTTTAAAGTTTGCATTATGTATGAGATTCCAGATAAACTTACAGCATTAATTATTCCACAGAAAAGAAAACCCAGCATTAAGAATTCAATGCATTGTTTACATCATAATAATAATAATTACAAATCCCTTTCTTCCAGTAAGTTTGGGCATGACAACTGCATCACTTTGCCACTTTGACTCCTCACTCTTAAGGTACAGCTTCACAAGTATGCTCCTATTAATTGCAACAATTACGAAAACTCATTTTATCACATGAACTTTTGACTGGGATCCATTACAGAGTCCTTCTGCCTCTCCCACCGCATCTAGAATATCATGGTTTCAAAGTTCAGGGTGCTTTGTAAAAGCAATTTATTTGCTGAGGGCAAGCCTAGGGTATTAAGCTTCTCAATTTACCAGGAGACATCTTCCAGAACTCCGTTAGTCTGAGAGGGTTAACAGAAATTAACACAGAGGGCTTTTGGTGTCGTCAGCAACAAACACATTCATGTACACCTAAGTACTAAGGTGTTGAACAAGGAGTTGATTATGGCACTGCATTAATGATTGTGCTGTAAGATCGTGCTTTTGTGCTAAGTAATGCACAAATCAACTCTGCCATTCCTCTACAAGCTTATAATTTAAGTATTAAAGAGGATGTAAAATTGGATAAGGGGATGGAATGAGCATTGGTGAAGGTCAGTAAAATGATCGGAGACAAAACAGACTCACAGCCTGTTTTAGCAGCCTCATAACTAACATTTAAAAGCCCATCTTGCACAAATGTCCAGGGCATGAAATATCCAGGGAGGAGAGAAGAAGCCCTTCTTACTATTAGACTCAGGAAGAAGGGAATAGAAGAGAGGCCCCGTGACCTGCTGTGGAAGCAGTCCCGGCAATCTGGCTTACTGGACCTGTCAGGACAAATATTTAGCAGCAGAAAATGATTAAAAGGAAGATCAAGGTAAACCAAATGGCATCAGAAGCGAAAGGCACACCAAAGAGCAGAGAGACAAGTTGGGCTATGAGCAGATATGAGCAGTGACCAGAAAAAAAAGCCATTAAATTTAAAAAAAAAAAGAGAGCAAAAAAGCTAAGCTAGGAAAATAAGCTAAATAAGGGCAAAAAATAATAATAATAATAATAAAGCAATGCCACATAGAGATAAATTCCAGGAATTGCCATGATCTTGCAAATACCCCAACTTTGTTCTGGCAGAGAGAAAAGGTCAGCTAAGTTTCAAGGAGCAGAGATGCAGCTCTCTGAATACAGAGTACCCTGATAGGCTGTCTGCTCCTTCACTGCAATGCTCCACCTGGTCAATCTGCAGTCATGGCCACCATTCATCAAGACAGAGCAAAGACTGCTTATCCAACAGCCTCATCTGGGCTGCACTCCTTTATTAATAGCAATGAAGTCACTAGTAAAGCCCTCAGTTGAGCAATGTCTCAACATGCATTGCAGCCTACTGAAATAGTTTATTGTTACAGAACGGAAGACACAAAGACTTCAGAAGCACACCTATCCCACAGCTCCACTGAAAGGAGCTGACTCAGTACATTCATACCTACACAACACGTTCATCTGCAGCTAAGCTGCTTTCCCAATGATAAGCACACTCATAAAAAACACCATGATAAAAAAAATCCACATGAAAAACCTGTCCATCACCTTTGCCACTTTCTTCCACTCAATTCCTTTGGCCCGGTTTGCTTTATGGTCTCGAACACAATTAGCAATATACTCAATATTCTTAATCAGCATTTTGTAACAGGAACAGCAATTAACATTCTCCCTATCATTTTCACCATGAACTCCAAAGCTTTTATTCAAATTTCCATTCAGATTTTCTTTGAGATCACTATCATCATTTCCATTGGAAAGGTGACTCTTTCCATCTGCCCCCCGACACATGTCACCGCCCTCTAACCTGTGTTGTTGTTCTTTCTCTCTTCGTGGACTTGTACAATTTTCACCCACATCATAAACAAAAAAAATTTTTGACATATAGTCCAAGATTACCACTCTGGCCCACTGTGGAACAGGCTTTGCTTCTGAGCCACAGTGATGTACATTCATTATAATGATTGTCAGTGCAGTGGAGGCTGTGATCATGGTCATAGTTGCTATGTAATACTTGCCTGGAACACAAAATAAAATTATATTAAAGATGCTATCCACATTAAAAAAAAAAATCATTGCAGAAATAGCAGAGTGACAAAGGGGTTGGAAAGGACGGGGGGTGACACTGAGAGAAAGCAGATCAAGGCTAGGTCCTGTCTGCTTAGATAGATGGGTAAGGAAGGTACTCAAATACAGCAAGTCATAATGTAAGTGGGAATTAATTCTGGTGAGAAAGTTAGCATAACTAAAAATAAACATCAAGTAAATGTAAAGAGCTTCAAATACCATGCATACTTCAAGTATTTCACTAGATTATTATTTTTTTCTTAACAAATGCAGCCAACATTTATCTTCCCAAAAGCCATACATGACACAGTCAATCCTACATTACAGCCCTGATTTCAATAAGCCATGCTTAAGGACAAAGCATGTAAAGCTCACCTATCAGAGGTACGTTTTCAGAGGGAGGCATAATCTCTGCAACCATCAGCTGGAACACAGTCAGAGCAAGAAGAACTGTAACACCTAGAGACACTTTTTCTCCAGAGTCTGCGGGGAGATAGAATCCCAGTGGAGCGAGGAAAGAGATCAAAATGCAAGGAAGAAGAAGATTAAATATGTAGAAAGATGATTTCCTTTTCAAAATCAGCGTAAACGTTACGTCTGGATAAGGCTCAGAGCAGCAGCCGTAAGTGATTACATTCTTAACCGCTGGCATACCATGAATCTCCCATTCCACGTCTTCTACAAAGTCAGAAAGGTCACCACTATCAAGAGAATTGATGATGTCTACCTGATTACCATTATAGGTCCAGGAACCAAACGTAAGGTTGCACTGCTGGCTGTCAAAAGGAAAATAAGATACATCCACTACACATGAGCTTTTTGTGATAGCAGGAGCATCCCAAGTGATTTTTCCATCATATCTCAACACAACATTAGTATTCACAGGTTCTGAAAAGTCATCATCAGCCCTAAAAGACAGAAAAGCAACAGTCAAGATTGACATGCAGCAATTCAGTGCATGGGTTGGGGAAAGCCAGGGGGAGATCCTGGCTTCACAGCATTAAAAGCATGCTTCTGAAAATGTGTCATTTATTCATATTGATTTTTACTAGAAACTTGCTGTATTACTTACTACATTATTTACAAGTACCAGTTCCCATTAGTGCCAAACATCAGTGAAACTAAATTATACTGTATTTCTTGGCTATTGCTTCTTCAAACTTGACCTCAAACAGGGCACAGTGAAATACCAAATTCATTAAAAAATCTGCTGCTCATTACTGGCCAGGGAGAGCAGACAAGATATGGAGCCTTTGCCCTTCTGTAGGCACCATCTTCCAGAGCTCTTCAGCAGCCTCTGCAGAAAGCATTTAAGATTGACAATGTTCAAAACTCAGTGCAAACAAGAAATTCACCACAGCTCTGCTATGTAGCTGGATCAATTGCCAAACTATTTTATCTGTGGCTCTTGGGATGATTAATAATAAACATTAAGACAACAAATATATTCCCCTCTAAGGTAAAATGAAGTTCAGGTTCCATGAGTCATTTCTTCTTCTACCCTCTCCCTTACACCCATTCAAGATGATTCTCCCTGGCCTCACTCACTTGTTATAGAGGACAATATCTGGCCTCCAGACCAAATTGCTTGGAATTCTGATAGAATCCAATCCATCATATTTATCCTTATCCCATTTGAGGTATGCATCATACCAGCTTTGTCGAATCCATAAGTAAGCTGTTAAAATTTGGTTCCTTTCATCCTGCATAAAAAATACAAAAATATTTCTTGTTCAAGGTGAAAAAAGTACATTCTAGATACTGACAGCATTTGTTGTACAGCTTTAAAGCAGTGTCCAAAGCAGGCCTCAATACTGACAGATACATACGTACATATAGTGTACGTATGGGGAGCTTCTCTAGTCGATCCTCTTCGACTCTCTTGTTCAAACCTTCCTCTCAAAAGGAGTTATTTTCCCTGCACCCTCCTAGCTTTAAATACAGTTACCTAATGTTCTTGTATCTCTAAAAAGTTCCTTTTTCCAGGGTCAGAATAACAGCAGATTTAGCTTAAAACTCTCTGAAAGCTTGAAGTTGTAATTCACAAGTCAGAAGTGATTTTCCTTTTCCCTTCCAGACAAATTTTCTTTTGCCTTAGAAGTGTATCTGTTAAACTAAGTTTATAAAAAGTTACTGGAAGCTACAATAGGAGGTTTAAGGAGAAATTAATTGCTCCTTAGAAAAAACACTCCCTCTTTCTATTTAGTAGCAAAAGTTGCCTGAAAGCTGGAATACAAACACTTAACTGATACTACAAAAAAAAAGTCTTAACAATTCAGCAGCTGTAAGTTTGTAGACACGTAATGGAAGTTGTACAACTGCAAACAGATAAGACTATTAAGAACTGCAGAACATGACCCTTGTGAGGAATCGTTACTGAAGTTGTCACAGCAGTATGCAAGCTGCTTTCCTACTTCAAACAAGTTAGCAGTTGGTACACTTCTGCACATTTTCAGAAAAATAGAACTGTATTTTTACTCACCATGTCTTTAATTTGAGACAATGTTATCTGAAGGGTAACATTCAGCACTTTATCTGTGTCTTCCACTGGTCTTAGAGCATTTGAATAGTCTTCAAACAGTTCAGTGAACAGCATCTGAGCATATTTCCCTTTGGCTGATTCTACAGCTAGATAATAGATTTTTTCAGTATATCAGATTAAGCACTGAGCAATATCAGCAGCCATCCCCTTCCAATAGCTTCCAAATGCTAAATACAGCATTTGCTATATTTATCATTCAAATACTGTAGAATATAATTTAGTGCAGAAACAGAGCAAACCTGATAAAGTTGTTCAGATAAAGACAACATTCACCTGTAGTAAATGAATAGCTAGCTCTAGCTTTTCACACCTACATGAAAAAAAAAAAAAAAAATCTCTATATCCAGAGATTCTTGCCATTTTTGAAAGTAAATATCATTACATTTATTTTACTCATCTCTTTCATAGGCATGGAGATTACTGACTTAGACACATCTGCCAAACTAAAATTACAAGCAAAGCCTGAAGCCACATCTGCTCCCAAGCTAATAACTTGTGACATCTCCCTAAACACAGCACTGATAGATTCATGATACTTTCAGAATTCACCTCATCCCCCCTGCACCCTTTTTCTTTTTAAGCAGAACTTGGAAATATTCCGAGCTGCTTTTCTTCACAATTTAACAATTACATGAAACATGAACACATCCCTGGACCAACACATTTCCCACAGCATATATTTGGAGGCATTTATTGCTATCCACATGCCATGGATAATACACCAAAACTTTAAACACTTTTGCTGTTCCGTACGACTTTATGCATTATAGTTTTTCAAGACAGAGTCTCTATTATCTTTAGATTCATGCATTTTTGCAAGCAAAGGACCAGGATAGGGACATTCACAAGGCTTGTACAAATGCCAGCTGGCATAAGGTAGGAAGCAAGCGTTCTGGAACGCATCGCTCTTTGGTGACTCACAGTTACTTCCTGGGCTAACCAGAGTTCAAAGAAAAACCTCTTGATTAAAAAGAAATCTTAACAAAAGTTTCATAAGGAGCATTTAGATCTATCTGGTTATACAGAATCCTTCATTTTCTCGATACATCTGAAAGGTGAAGAATAAAAGCCAAAGAAAAACACACACATGAAGGGGACTTCTGGAGCTCAGCCAAGTACGACACATCAGGACACCAACTTCTATTGAGTAGAATAAAGTTCAATGCAGTATTTAGCTACCAAGAAGTGTTTTCTCACCTTGAAGCATCGTGGCTGTGAACAGCAACCAGAGAGAGACATAAAAGGATGACAGGTTATTTCTCTTCATTTCTGGACCTTAAATAAAACTGTTCACCCAGAAGCATGACAATTTTTATCACTCTCCAAAACTGTAACAAAAGATGAGTTACTATGGTACTGAAGTACAGCTACAAGCAACTCAGTCCTCCTGCAGCTGTCAGTCGTCCTGGAGAGATGGCCTCTGTTCCTGCAATGCCTGAGGCTCTGCTGAACCCTCCCTCTCTCTCCGTAACCTGAGAGCTGCCTCCTTGAAGCTAATGCTGTGCAAGACAACAAACGGATGGGATATCAGTAGGAAAACTGTTTTCCATTGCTTTACTCCCTACAAACATACAATTATGTTTCTTCATAGATCAGACATTTTTCATTTCTCCAGCAGGTCAAGACTTAGTGACCTTACATTCAGGAATATCTTGCTCAAAACCAGTCCAGTGAAGCCTGTGAAACCCTCATCAAAATAAATAGATAAATTCAATAACCACAGATTCACTAAGATCATCTAGTCCAACCATCCACCTGCTACTAATATTGCCCTCTAAACCATGTCCATTAAGTAATACATCTACCCTTTCCTTGAAAACCTCTAGGGACAGTGACTTCACCACTCCAAGCAACTTTTCCAGCACCTGGCCAGTCCTTCTAAGAATAAATTTTTCATAATGTCCAACCTGAACACCCCCCTGCTGCAACTTGAGGCCATTCCCTTTAGTCCTATGCCTAGTTATACAGGAGAAGAGGCTGTTGCCCACCTTGCCAGAGTCTCCTTTCAGGCAGCTGTAGAGCAGTAGGATCTGCCCCGAACCTTCTCTTCTCCAGACTGAACAATCCCATTTCCTCAGCTGCTCCCCATAAGGGCCTGTGCTCCAGACCCCTCACCAGCTTCATTGCTCTACTCTGAACATGCTCCAGGGTCTCAATGTCTTTCTCATAGTGAGGGGCCCAAAACTGCACACACTACTCAAGTTGCAGGCTCATCACAGCTGAGTAGAGGGGGACGATCACCTCTCTGTTCCTCTTGGCTACCCTATTTCTGATACAAGCCAGGATGCTGCTGGCCACCTGGGTACACTGCAGGACCATGTTCATCTGAGCATCAACCAAAGCCCCCAGACCCTTTTTTTCCCACACAGCTTTCCAGCCACTCTGCCACAAGCCTGTAGTATTGCACAGGGATAATAATATCCTCCTCGATATTTAGTTGGTGTGGTTACACCTGAACATTCCACATCCAATATGTCACACAGCAAAAACTACAACCTACCTACTTGTATACTAACAAAACAAAGTTTTGACCTATCAAAGTGATGCCATGGGGAAGAGATGTAGCTACACCAAGAACTACTGATAACAGAGGCAACAATTGCCAGGGGACATTGAGCACTTCTAGAACCAAGAGTCATATTTCTTCACCACAGGCTGAAGACAATCTTGTGAACTGCTGCACTAGAAATACAGACCTGCTGAGATGTGCAGACTGATGCTGTAGTTAGTATATAACCCCATACATTAAAGAACCAGGCTACTTTAGAACACTAGAAGGGCTGCTTCAAAAGCAATGCTGCCTGAGGTGGATGGTGGTGGTATGGCAGCAGAGGTTGAACCTTCCCACCAATACTCTGTTACTTTTAATTGCTGATGGCAGCAGAGGGCACTCTGACAAAATGGCAACTGACACAGAAGTGAATACGAAGCAAAGGGTGTCTCTGAATTTCTCCACGCAAGAAAAATAGCACCCCTTGACATTCTTCCATGCTTGCTGAACATTTACGAAGAGCAGACAATGGTTGTGAGCACAGAGAGTGTGGTGCATTTCAGCAGTGACAATAACAATGTGAAGGGCAAGGCACGTTCTAGACAGCCATGCAGGTTTTTTTATGAGCATTGCACACAGACTCTTGTTCATCACTGGGTAAAAGCATACGGGCACTGGTGGTGACTGGCTTTTAAAAGGGTGTTTTATAGTTCAGAATTTGCTCCATCAAATGGTGTTATTGCACTCTTTGTATCTACTGTATTTTCCATGGAAATAAAAAGGAGGCATTTCTTTCAGAATAACCAATATGATATTTCCAAAGGAAACTAGGTTCTCAAAATAAGTACACAAGAAGCATGCCTGTATATGTTGATTATTCAGTTTACTTCTACATGTGTATAAACTTCATATTACTCACTATAAATGTGTAACAAGTATATTCCTGTCAAATAGATAGGAGCTGTTGCATACATTATATACAGACAGTGAGCACGCATATCATAGAATGCACTGAGTCACAGGAGACCTTCAAGATCATCTTCCACCCCCCAGACAATGGGCAGGACTGCCACTCATCAGAGCAGTCTGCCTAGGGCCCCATCCAGCCTGGCTTGAGCACCTCCAGGGATGGAGCATCTACAGCTTCTCTGGGCAACCTCTGCCAGTGCCTCACCAGTCTCTGAATAAAAAGGATTCCCTTTAAGGCTGAACATACATCTCTTCCCATTTAAAACCATTTCCCCTTTCTCCTATCACTATCAGGCCCCATAAATTGTTGGTCTCTCTCCTATTTATAAGCTCCCTGTAAGTACTGGAAGGCCACAATGATGTCTCCCCAGAGCCCTCTCTTCTCCAGATTCAACAAGCCCAAGTCCCTCAGCCTCTCATAATAGGAGAGGTTCTCTAGCCCTTTGATCATCTTCATGGCCCCTCCTCTGAGCCCACTCCAACAGCTCCATGTCTTTCTTGTGGAGTTCCCTAGACCTGGGTGCAGTACTCCAGCTGGGGCTTCATGAGGGCAGCAGAATGGGACAGTCACTTCCTCTGGCCCCCTCCTCTTTTGATGCAACCCAGGATCCAGTCAGCCTTCCAGGCTGCAAGTCCACACTAGTAAAACACGAAATACTTGTGATGCTTGAGATGCTACATTGACTACACAGTACTAACAAAAAAAATATAGAATACATCCAAAAGCCTTTTCAATATTAAAGACTTAAGAACTTTAACAGTCTTAGTATGTCAGACCATTGGTCTCCTCTAGATTTTTTTCCCCAATAAATCTGATTTGTGATTCTAAACCAAACATCCCTGAAGTAGACATTAGCGTGAAGGCTGAGTATAAAGATTTGTTATTTAATGATCTGAGAGATTCATCTAGACACCCACACTTCCTTGGAATATAGTTTAAAATTGTGGCTTAATCTATAGCACTACTACTCCCAGATGAAATATTCCATTTAACAGTTGAACAGAGTATAAATTTGTCAAACAGTTCTGTTTTTCCAGCAACATGTTCTTCTATGAAGTCAGGAATATAAGTACAAAGCAGATTACACAGAGAATTTCAGAGTCACAGGTGTTTGCCAAGTTAGATTCCAGTCATTAACTTCTCCTAAAACTGAACTTCACCACCCGGTGGAAACAAGCCATCCTGCAAGAGTGTATCAACCAGCAGATGGCCCTGTTAGCCAGCCCACCAGTTTACCCAGACATTCAAGATGATTTTTGTTTATCTTGTTTTTAAGTACCTTCACTTTTTGATATACTTGGATTAATTTTGCTGATTATTTACCTTTTGTTTAATACAAGATGAACAAAGACAAGACTTTCTTTCAAAGAAGGTAAGCAGAAAGAACAGAACTATTTAGTGGCCAACTGTGGCTCTGGGTCTGCCTAAATTACATACATGAGGTTAATTCACAGGAAGGTCTCAGGGAAGCAAATATAAATCACTGTCAAAAACTGTTACAATATGAAACCATGCTTAGAGCACTGACTGCTTCTGGTGATGCAGAGAAAAATTAAGGCACAATATCCAGCCCCATTTCCTTATGATTTCATTCAAACATTTGACTTTGCTCTGTTCTTTTCATAGCCAGTACACACTTTGACACTGTGTTTGTGTTCACATTCAATGGGACAACATTGTACCATTCATTCCACAGTGCACTGAGCCTGAATGATACTCTCATGACAAGTAACTTCACTGTTCTAGGCAAACACATAAGTTGCAGTGCAGAAACCTGCAAAATACAAATGCAGCATAACACCATGCAAGGTAAGGTTAACTTTGCATACATTTTATGGAGAGACTGAAGGTGAGGAGGATCTCTTTGCATATTAAGTATCTAGAATCTGGAAGTTTTTATCTTGGACAAATTACAAAGAAGGAAAGTTTAAAACTTTTTTTTTTTAACCAAAACAAATTGTAAAATCATTCCTGCCTCAAATAATCCTTTACCCCTCAGGCTAAGATCTTGACTTTTTTTTTCTTAAACATTCTCATCCTTTCTTGCATGATACACAAGAAGAGTTTTTAGACCTCCAACTGAAAAAGCAACAGATACTGTATTATCACAGACCTCAAGGCCGTCTGTACCATTTATAATCCACTCCTTCATCAGAGAACAATAAAGAAGAACAGATTGGTTTCTAAGCACAGTTTGTAAGAAGCGTCTCACAGTCTGCTTCTACTTGCCTTCCTGCCAATTTTTCTTCCCAGAAGCTGTTGTGCTCACATTCTCCTCAGCATTTGCTACAGAATATTATCTTGTGATAGGGTCAAACAGCACGCTATCTTCAGAGTCAAGCTTCTCTTCTACTAAGACCGGTTATTCTAAGGAGGAATGACAACAGCTATTCCTGCCAGCAGAACAGCCTAGCTCTGCCTGCCCCAGAGAAGCAGAGTACAGCACTTCACTTAAATGCAGCATGTTTCTCTCCGCCCCATTTTCTCACCCACCTACTGCCTCCTCCTTCCTTCTCTCTAAAAATCCCCTACCACCTGAAACCAGCACACTCATTCATATTTTCTTCTTCTGTAGTACGTGCAAAAGACAGGAAATACATAGAAGTGTTCAGCATGTTAGGTCATGAGATAATGTGGAATATTAGCTATATTTTCCAGAAACAGTAAATCCTGTTAAATGTTAGTCATGAGCTCTGAAAATAAATTTTATTTTGGCCCACTTACATATACAGTTCTACTGATCATCTTGCAGCATTTGAAGAGGAACCTTTTGTCCTAAAAAGCCTTGTATTGTTTAATATGATCT